GGCGTCACTAGTCAGAAAAGGTTGACAGCAGTCGAGACCGAAAAAAAGCGTAAATATGACATACTTGCTAATAAAGTTGGGTCAGAGATGAAATGCAGGACCAAAACAATTCCGTAGGTGATGACTTGGAATAGGATTGTAACGAACTTTCACAAACGCTATGTGAAGGAAATTAGTATATCATACCACGTCGAGGCATGTTTTTAATTGCTAGACCTCAAAAAGACGAAGCAGCGTAGAGCAACATAGCAGAACTGAGCGCGTGTCGAGTGCAGCGAAAATGCCAAAATACGATTCAGCGCCAGAATCAACAATGCAGAAAGGAAAATTAACCTCTGTTTCATTATAATTGAGACTTTTTATACCGTTGTCCTCAATTTTTTAACCCAATGAAAAAGAAGCAATAAGGTGAACATGAAAAGTTCAGAAGGAATATAATTTATGCACACGTTTACTGACTTACACAGTTTCTAGCGTTATATTCGTCGGTATCAGTGTATTCACCATTGTCATTTCAAGAACTGAGTTTAGATTTTCACTGCCCTCTTTCAATATTTTGAATGGTGCACGATTTTGCTACGGATCTTGAAAATCTTCAAGCAGTATATGTTTTTATTAAATACAAAGTAAATTGTAATAATTTGTGGATTTATTTTTGTAAGTTGCATAAAAGTAAATGAATGGTAAGCATTGCAGAAAGTTCGAAAGCGGAGCAAAGTTAAGATTAAGTGCAATTTTAATTTCGTCTCTGCTTTAAAGTAAAAGCCGAAACAAAAGTGAAATCGAGATCAGATTTGCAGAAATATTAAACAGTGTTCACCTTTCAGGTCTAATCTCAATAGGCGAAAAATGTTCATCATTTAGGTCATTTAGATTTCTTTCCAGCACGCGTGATATGAATGGAGAGCCAACGGATGCATTCCGTACGAAACGCGGTTTAATAATGGTATCGCTTGGTCTAGTGAGAGGGAGCACCTGAAGACAAATCTTGCAAATCAATTACAGTATTTCTGCTTATTTTCAACTTGAAACTTTCAACTAAAAAAGGCGCTGAAAAAGCAGCAAAAGAATTAATCTACAATTAGTTAAAATAATTACAAGATTACTTTTTTCTTCAGTTTGCTGACTAGCTTGGCTGCCTGTGCTGGCATGATTGAGCCTCTGTAAAATTGTCTACAAAGATGTAATTCATCCCAATTGAACAATTTTTATGTTGTTAAAATAATTATGATTTATTTTACTGTTTGAAATGAAAGAAAAAGCTGACTGGATAGAAGAATAACTTACATATTTATGAGATTCGTGATTCGAGATTAGATATATACTGACTTATACTACTTCCACTGAGACAAAACTTGACGAATATATGAGTAAGAGGCAAATTCATTGAAAAAGTGATTCCAATTATATATTCAAATTATAAAAACAAATAGGCTATCTTTGAGGAGTAATATATTTTCCCATTAACTCACAGCATTTTAAAAGCATTTTAAAGACAGCAATTTCAAGTACCTCCGATCTTTTCGCTCCATTTCATCGAATTCCTCGTCTAACTCGTCATCATCACTGATTCCGCTTAGAAGTCGCACTGGCATTGGTATACTCATTGTTTCTGTTTCTCCGCTTAGCAGCCGACGTTCAGCTAACAAACTTCGCTTCTTACTTCCAGCTAAAGTGAGTTTACTTCTCCGTCACCATCAAAACAAAACTCAGCTATTGACTAACATCTTCTTAATACGCAAAGTTACTATTCAGTCTCCAAAAGAAATCAATCATGTGTTGCTTTTTGCTATGGTCATGTTATCAAAAGTAAAGTCATGTGAATGCAAAATCTTTGTGTCAGATATTTGACCTTCAAGTCTAAATTTCAATAACAAACAAATGATTCGTTGCTTAATATCTGTGTGACCGGTATTGAAACCTGCATTTCTGAGTATGCCGAGTAGCTCATATCGAAAAGCACTGATATCCTAAAGTGAATCAACTTATCTGCAGTCAACCAATAATCAAACGATAAACTATGACACTCACGTTTTATCCGGACATGCAATACATCATTATCCCAAACAAAACGTGAATTCATGCAGACTTTGAAGCGCACTCATTACTCAATCCATTTAAAAACTTTTGGATTAAAAGTTCATTTTTTAATTTTGAACGGCTATTTAAATTTGTATATCGTTTTAACTTGGGATCTGTTAGTGCATTTAAAATATAGCATTTGTCATAACTCACTGATTTTGAAAGTATAAAATTTCACAATGGAGTAATTGAAAATTAGAAAACAACGTGTTCCATTTTTTGCACAAACTTAAGACTTCAACTTCATATATTTTTTCAAGTTCCTTACGTGAAAGCCTATACGTTACGCCCGAATAACCAAAAACAATACCTGTTTTATCTCCGTGATGTCATCTTCCGTGACCTCTTTGATTTGCCGCTTGCAACGCTGAATTTGCGCGATGTACCGTTTTACCAAATTTCGCATCACCAACTATAGTAGGTGAAATATTTTTGCACTTTTATTTTATTTGAAAAATTTTTAATTTGTAAATAGATGATAGTACTCAAACTCTAACTTTTTTGCTTCTCTATTATTTTTAAATGGATACTTGTTTTTTGGAAAAGAACAACATACTGTTTTTCATTATCATCAACAATCCATTGTAGGAATCATTTTTAATATTGATGTTACAAATTTCCAATACAAAATAATACTCTTCACTCAAAGTAACTTACTCGGTAGTTATTTTCTCGTTTGTTGACTACTTGTAGAATTTTTTGGTTCTAAAAAGATAATCAGTAATATACCATAAAATTGATAATTCAAGTTAAGATGAAGAACTTCGACTTGAATATCAATGTTCAAGTGCAAATAATAACTCATCAGTGATTCACCGACACAGTGAAATTATTATTAAGGAACTGAATTCTCAATTCCAATCTCTATTGAAAATTCTCATCACGAATATAGTACACTTCCCGCTCTACTTTGTATCACTTACTCTCGCACTACGAAATTTGCATCCTATTGTTTGATCTGATTGGAAAACAGCTTCAAAACACCATCGAATACAATAGTAAACACTTTTCGGACTTGGGATCATGTTAAACGGCGGTGGGAGTGTAGCCGTATCATCAAAGTATTGGATCCAAAGTTTACTTCGAGCGAATTTCCACTCGACATCAGCTTGATTCTAAATGTGTTATTACACATGTAAACGATAATTTCCTCTAAATTTTTATATAGCGTGGAAAAATGAATAGATTATCCCCTTTTACCACTTTGGTTTTTTTATTGCGGTTACCAATTGTTTCAGGAACTTTTGTTTACTTGCTGTCATGTTATATATCAAATATCGTTCCTTTAAAATGCAATACTCAGTAAAAATTATAGTTTAGAAAAAACATTCTTATTTTTATTCTAAGCAAATAAACAAAAATTTCTGAATTAACAATAGAACATAAACATATTATTAACTGAAATGAATGTATACAGTTTTGTCACGTATAATGAATTATATTTGCAGTTATAACTGAAATATCAAGGCCTTGGATAGTAATTGTTTAAATGATGCTCTTACAACTAATGTTTACGCACTGTCTTCTAACTAAGATGATAATTGATTGATGAAGTAGAATCTGATATGTCTTAATGTAGTAAGGCTTGACCTATCAAGATATCATGTTATCATCTGCAATGTCTTTTGCGTAATTCATACCCATGAGGAGAAATTTTGAGAATACCATTAGCTTGGTCCCGAATATGTTCGAAGTAAACTTTAGATTCAAATTTATCTGATATCTGTTTTTGCAAAATTTTTATCGAAATTAAAAAAACTTTTAAAAGTCTTGTAAATTTTCTTTACTCATATTTTAATCCTTTTTTTACTACTAACAAATCAAAAAAAAATATTTTTAAGATTTAAATAATTTGGTAGTCTTACATAAATATTTTGATAAGAGTTGCTCATCATGGCTATAAGCATGTTCAGAAGTACGATTACCGAACAACAACAGTAACTCCCAAAGATCGTTCTTCCCATCCATTTAGTAGGTTCATGAGATTCTACCACATCAAGTTCTTCCAAACTTATTATTCCGAATGAAGACCAAAACAATGTTTCCATTGATTTGTATAAACTGAATGCGAATGTTTAAGTGCTTGCATTATTAATTTCTATTTATCCCAAGCAAATCTTGCTAATTAAAGTTAAAAAACTATTACTTAACTACTGCAAACCTTTTGCAATATTTGACATAAAATATAGAAAAGAATTTTAATTTATATAACGTAGCAGATACATTTTCAACTCATAAAAAAGTACACTATTATCGATAATGACTACTAATCTGATTAAAAAAATAGCAAGAGCAATTAGTTAACCTTTCACACGAGCGGTACTTTGGGTTACAAGATTCTTGCATTCTCATCAGCTCCTTCATCGGTATGATATTGTTGTGGATAGAATTGCTCTTGAGCATTCGATACCTCTCACATTCCTATGAAAAGTAATATTTAGTTTTTGCTCAAAAACAAAGTCTATTTTTCGAGAGTTTCAATTTACAGATTAAAAATTGCAGTGCATGAATAATAAAGTAGCACCTGTTGACGCATAGCTGAGTAGTACCACATGAGCTGACTGAGGCCACATGCGAACGAAAATAACACAAGGAAGTAAATGAGTAAAAACTTCACGATATCCAAAACCATTCGACCTGAGATTGATCACATTGAAAAAGTGTTAGGAGCAAATGATCTTCGATACTTTGCCCTATTACAAAGTCAGTTAATTAGCGGTACCTAGAGATATTTTGAGTGGGCCGAGATGTGCATTAACTGTGAATATATGAATGATTTTAAGAGATGAAAAGATGTTAGCAGTTGCAAAGGCACATTCTGAAATAAGCGTCGGCTCCCATGGATCCCAATCACGTCGTAAGATTTTACGCCCCAAGTGACGCATTCCAAAATCATGCATTTCACCTTCAACCTGAAGTATCAAAGATAAACTCCTAAAGAAATGTTTATAAACGAGTTAAAATCCCACCTGTACCTATTAGTTAAGTGATAATAAACCTGCAAATATGCAACAATCCGTAGAGCGACAGTGCATAGGTACAAAGCGTTAGTCATAAAATCGAGTAAATTCCATAAATCTGAACAGTACTCGCAAAGACCTCCATCCCATAATTGTTTTATTTCCACCCAAATCAAACCTTTAAAATTCTTGAGGAAATTAAAAAATTTGTCTAACTGATCTCCTGTTATCCCATTTTTTTTAAAATTTCATTCTTCATTAGTCAATGATTACAACCTTACCGAAGATCCATGCTAAGATAATTAATTCTACAGGTGTTGGTGGCGGACCACGAACTTCTTTTTGATTTGGGTCAACCTCCCTTTCTGATGTCGAGGATTCTATGCCGAGAATCGGATCGTAGCTGATCCGCTGGCTTGCCAGAATGAGCAAAACTAGAAGATAATTCTTTTAGAAAAGAATAGTGCAAAAAATTTTAGTTTCATTTCCGTTAATCTTATTTCTTTGCTTTCAAATTTGAATAAAGGGCAAAATTTACAAAGGAAAAAGCAGTACGAAGCTGAATGACATAAAAATTTGATAAAAGGTTGACGAGCAAATTCTGCAACCGATGATTTTGGTGCAATCAGATAGATAACTGCAAGAACAGGTGAAGCCAACGATACTCCCAGAATGATAAGTACCTAAATTTTTCGCAAAAATCTATTCTCAGTTTAGCAATTTCATCCAAGTATTCATACATTCAAACTCTCTTGTCAACTGATTACAATTGATCATTACGATGCCATGATTCACAGTTTGTCCAAACTTCGATAAAAACTTTTTTCAAAGTTGAAAAGCTTTGGGAAAACCATGATTAAGCTCTCTTCAAAAAGTAGCCAAAAAGAATAGCGAAGAAATGAATATTGACTTTAATATGTCTTGCCTTTCTTGAAAGTCAACAAATAATCGGAATTACTACAAATAAAACTAATTTTAACCTTCAAGATAATATGTCGATCTCGGAAGCCAGGCAAACCTTTATAGAAAATTGCGGACAATAATTGCTGACAATTTGGATGTGCGACAAACTGAAACAATCTCATTAATTAATTTACACTTACAATCGACTGATTAAAGAACAAATATATCAATAATTGAAACTGATAAAGAATAAATTGGATCACATGTACAGACAAATTTTCAAGATAAAGTTTCCACTTTATTAACATTTTCAAGATAAAGTTTCCACTTTATTACAATAAAATATATGTTTCCATCAATTATTGTACTACTAGAACACAAAAATATTATTTTTATTGAGTCTTGGCAAGTCACTATTAGAACATTTACGGCATTGCAATATAGAAATTAGTTATGTAGGTGGTGTTGTTGGATTTAATTATTCAAAAAGCAAAAGGGACTTTGTGAGCATTAATTAATTGAGATTGTTTAGTTATTAATTAATACTAACTCTTTTTTGACGCAGTTTCACGGCTAATTTCAGTCTAGCCAACTGAGGACATAAATTAGTACTTTTGCGTTCTGTCACTTCTTCCCATGCATTAGTAGTGTGATTCAAAACGACTTCCAGTTCCTTCGATCCTCGCACTTGTTCTAGCATATTAACACTGAATGACTGGCATTTCTGACTCAGTTCCTGAATTTGTAGGAAATTCTAGCGTTCTGAGAAGTGCTCTTTGCTCTTTAACATTCAAAAAAGATACCAATCTCAAGCTTGATGCATCAACATTTAAAAAGTTATTGTTTAGAAACTTGAAAATTTATAGTCTTTGTGCTGAAGTACTTGAGTGCCGTTAAATTTAACAGACTTATATTTATAAACTATCAAAAAATAACCAAATTCAAAATTATTGCTAACTGAAAAATGCTAGAAGTTCAAATTCCAGCTCATTTCCACTTTTTTCAAAGCTTTGATTACATCAGCAGCTAATCTGACCTGATATTCGTTTCGGAATTCATTTTCAATATTGGACAAACGCCTCAGCTCATAGCTCAGTTCAAAAGTATATAGTATTGGATCTTTCGAAGACAAGCAAATCAGAGATGGACTAATTAGAGCCCGATAAGTGTTAATACGTGATTGAGATAAACGCAGTGAATCTTCTGCTTTTGCCTACAAATTGTCCCTCAAAATTACTGTAATTTCTGAATTAAAAAAAACGACTACTGAAAAAGCTTTTTAAATAGGCTTTTTAAAAGAATCACTTCTTAGAATTCATGCAATACTTTGCAGTAAAATTTAAAAATTATTCTGGACACTGCATCTACCAAAGAATGTGCCTGAGCATTACTGCCAATTTTTCTATTACAGAGGCACAAATCTGCCATATTTATTATGAATGCAGAAATCTTTACCTGCATACACTCTTTGCATGAGCACCGCACGTCATGGGGATGAAGTATGGTAGCTTTCTTGTCTAGTAATAGCTTGATGCATTCATAATTATCTTTGTGAGCTGCCAAAATGATAGGTGTAATATCAGGCGTGAACGCCGAGTGAGCACTGATTTCAACTCCTTGATTCTGAAGCAATTTTGGACTGTGTGATATTTGAACGATAATCTTAATTTGACTGCTCAACGGTTTAAAACGTAACTGCAATTTTTTTATAAATTTTTACGTATTGTGTATTCGAAATGTTATGTGAATGGAAGTAAAGCGTTGTTTGTTTTTAAAGTTAGTGATTGGAATATACAATGTTGTAGTAGCGAGCAATGATAGTTTCATTACTATTGCTGTTTCAAAAAGCTCATTTTTAGTAACAGCAATAATAGTACTAATTGCAAAAGCGATGATAGTAATGATAATAAGACTGATAGTAATGTTATTAGTGTTACTGAGAATTATTAATGCTATCATTATTAGTGTTACCACTTATAATGTTGATATCATTTCTAGCATTAATAATGATTATTAAAAGGAAAACTTCAGGATTAAATTTGCCAATTTTTTCTAAATGGTAGAGGAGTATTTCGACGGCCTCAACATTTTCTTCCATAATAGCATATAGTACTGCATCGCCTGCATCAACATTATGATCAAGCAACAACTCGATTAGTTCAATATTTTCATTTTCGATCGCTATGTGAAGAGCCGATCTATAAAAAAATTAACATTTTAATGAAAATTAAATGTTTTGTCTGTTTAGTCATATTAATCAATCACATTATTCAAATAATAATAATTACTCACAGAAATAAACACAAAGTAATATTGGGAGTAAATTATAACAGCCATATATAGTTGCAATAAAAATTGCTACAAATTTGGTATGATGAGGAAATAACATTAAAAAACAAAGGAATTTCTTTCAGTGGTATTAACATCTAAAAAAATAACATAGGGGAGCACATTTTTCAAAGTTGAAAAAAATGGAGTTTGACCTTCCAAGTGGATCTAGGCAATTAATGTTGAATGCTCCAATTGACTTGTGAATATGCAATAGCTTTCGCACACTTCCCGAATCGCCACGTTCCACTGATAACAAATACTGTTTTTCATATAAGCCTGTGTCGTGTGCTACAAGCATTTTTACGATCATTTAAAGAATCTCTTCTGAAGTATTCAGAGACATTGTTCTGTCACAGTGCAAAATTAGTGAATAAATAAATCACTTGAGTTTAAAAAAAATGTAAGCTCTATAAATTGTCCTAACTTAAGTTATATTTTATATTTAGTTTAAAAGATCATCAGTATTCTTTGTCGTATTACCATCTTTTAATATATCTACGCTTCGGTTATTTCTGAATAGCTGATGTTATTCTAAATGTTAGTTTACAAATATATCATCTCCTATTATATTATAACTACCAATTATTTATCATTATAATGAGATATTTATTACCAAAAAATGTATGACAACTAAAATATCAACAGCTTTTTTTCTATTAAAATGAAGCAACATACATATTTGCTGTTGTATATTTTTTTGTACATATTTTGTGCTGCTGCATAAAGTGTGAGGTGTCATAGGACAATTTGTCAGACAAATGTAATTGTCTGACAAATTTTGAATAGTAGTTTAAGGCCCCATACATAAGATTTGACCTAATTATGCAGTTTGTTTTAGTTTTAATTGCAGTAAATAAGCGTAATTCCATAAATTAACAAATCGAATGTTACTATTACTAGCTTGTGATAAAAATCAAATTTGAGCTTCGCATGAGGCAAAAAGCGTCATTTCTATTTTTTTCTTGCAATTATAATAATTTCTGGTGGCAGAAAAATCGAAACTCACATCGCTTATTCATTGCTTACGAGCAAAACTGTGGAGTTGTGTCAACTTGCATGAACTTAAAAGAGATATTGAAATTGATGTTAGAGAAGATTTGCGATGAGCGGCGAGCGCAAGAAGGGACGATGGAATGATCAGAATAGATAGATAAGAGCGCAGTTGAAAGCTGCTGAGAGGGAGAGCTAAGCAGGCGGATAAGATTATAGATGGGCGTGAGGGGATCGAACAAGCATTCTGCTGCAAACTGAAGTTTACGAGGAAAGCGCTAGAATATCTTTTGTTTGCTTTTCATCTAAAAGACAAAAATAGATGCTTCTTTCATGGCTGAACAGTTGCCAAGTATGTGACGGCCAGCTTCAAATTCTTTTTTTGCTTTCTTTCCTCCCTCTCAATGTTATGCCATAATTGCAAAAAGTCAGCAACTGATTGCAGAGATGCTAGAAGCTATTCAATGAACCTTCTATTTCAATGATGAGTGAGTCGAAAAGTTGATCACATCTACTTCCGACCTACACCCTTCAATAGCACTTATTCGATGGCAAATCACTCGAAAACTAGAAATTTGTAAACATTTAGTGGTTACTGTTTCCGGCTGCACTTCCTGTTAAACGAAAAAGTAAGCGATGAAAAAAGCAATCTCTTCCAACTAAAAATTGGTATAAGAAGATTTGTTTCAATATTTTGTGAAATATACGCAAAAGCTTTCAAAATATTCGGTAAGGTAAAATTCACAATAAAAATCATAAATTATGCAAATGCAAAGACAGATAGCAAAAACAATATATTGTGCAAAGTTTTCTCGAATGCTGATCAAATTGTGAATAATACTGAAATATTTCCTGCAGTTTGCTGTGAAAAATCACTACTTTCAAGGCATTAAAATCTTTCACCAAACCTTGCACGCAATCATTTTTTCAAAATAATTTCTGGCTGTTGCGGATTTAATAATGGGACTTGTTGCAAATGTATTTTTGTTTCTGATTTGTGCAAGTGTTTCACAAATTTAAGTGATTTAAGTTTGAACTAGATTAGTTTCATTTTCAAATACTTGATCAGCTGCCAATTTACCAGAATACAAATTACAGTATTTAATCTTAAATCATCCTCAACTCTTCTGCACTTCTAAACTATTCTGCTGCTACATTGTTTATTAGTAATAGCGATCCGTTGCCAAATGAAAATATCCGTTGAAATTGGTTATTTCGAATTGCCGAAACAAGTCTGCTTTTGTGAAGATACTTAGTCTACCGGAAAATGGATAATTTTTAAGCAAATAATTTTTTGGCAGCATTTCTTCCTTAAAGAACAAATCTTTTTAATAGATATTAGTCTTAAAAAATATGAAAATGTATTCAAAAATAAATTGGAAGCAATAGACTTTCTTAATTTATAGAAGCATTCAGATTATGCTGATAATTATTTATAAAAATGTTTTACTCATTTATAATTCAATCCAAGATTCGAATCACTTGTCATATTAATTCAATTATTTTCATTAGATTAGAATGAGCAAAAGTGACAGTAAAACTGGCTTTTGCACTAGCATATAGAATGCTTCCTACTTTTCAAGTATTCCGATCAAGCTAAATAGTGATTTTAATTTCTTTTCCGAGTTAAAATTTTTGCATTTTCTGTAATTAAGAACTAAAATTTCAATAATGGAAAATTTTTCTGCAGAATTTTTCACGACTAGTTTTAAATAAACTATGAAACTTTCCAGGTAAATTTTGTATTTATATTTCAAAACTTGAATATGACTTTATGAAAATTGAGTTTGAGTGTAAAAAGTAAAATAAACAGAAAACACTCACCAAGTGCTTATCTACGAGCTGTAAAAAACTCCTCGTAAATTACAACAGTTTGTTTAAAATGCAAACAAAATACAATTAACCTTCAAAGTTTTTACAAATCATCTCTCTCTTTCCATTTTGTGAAAGATTTTAACGGCTTTGATCATAAAAAGTCGTGAAATTTTCAGACTTTCGAATTGATACAAAAATAACATTAAAACGTTTTTCTTTTTAATACATTCTTTCCAACTCACAGATATTATGTAATTAACAAAATTGTATCAATGTATTGCATGGAAATAAACGAAATGAATCATAAAGATGCAACTAATTAAGCACACTTCTCAGTTGAGATGAGTGAATAAAAGTATTGTTACAGAGAAGAGAGAAAGGAGGGTACTGTGATCAGATTTATTCGATCTCAGGGGAGCAGACAATGTCAAATGACTTGCGAGACAACTCCACAATCATCTGTGAATGAATGTACCATCCAGAAGTAGCAGGACAAGATTAGAAAGCTGAATGTCAGAACAGAGCTATGCTGGCACTTAATCCATGAGACTTATTGGCATCTCGTTTTGCCTTTGTTAGTTCGCAATTCTCACCCGTCTACATCCATCCATCCATCGTATTGAAGGCTACTAAAAATCCTCCATTTTTCTCTTTACGGTGTTAATGCTGCCTGCATTCTAACATGACGCATGCACATTTTAAAGCTTTTTCAGCATACTGTAAATGTCCTCAACATCACTGATCATTTTGTTCAACAAAAAAGTTGCATTAGTCTCACTCATTCAAGCGTAACTAATTTACAAATCCATCCAAATTACTTTACATGCGAGTGCAAGCAGCAAGTAAGTCAGACCGATGTAATTGTAAATTGATCAGTCATGTCAGCAATGTATGTATAGTAGTTACATTTAACTTCAACTATACCAAACTTAAAAAATGCAGTAATGGACTTAATGCCTGCAGTAATAGAAGAACCGTTAAAAAATGTTCAGAAATCAAAATACAATAATGAATAGGCAAAATGCTTGCTGCACTAGCTATACTGCTATTTATTTCTGAAATTTCCTCTAATAATAATAAATAATAATAATTAATCTCCACATAATAATAATAATAATAATAATAATAATAATAATAATAATAATAATACTAATACATATGTAAATAATAACAATAAATTCTCGGCCTTGCCCAGGTGCTGAGAGGTTCGCTCCGAGGGTGGCTCTGAATGTGCAGAATATTTTCAGGTTGTGTTTTGAAGTAACCAAATACTCTATAA